CAGTTCCTGCAGGAGTGCTGCTCCGGGGTGCCACTCATCACAGAATCATAGAATCACAGAGTGCTTTGTGTTGGAAGGGACCATTAGAGGTCATCTAGCCCAACCACCCCTGCAGTGAGCAGGGACATCTTCAACCAGATCAGGTTGCTCAGAGCTCCATCCAGCCTGGCCTTGAACATTTCCAGGGATGGGGCCTCCATGACCTCTCTGGGCAATCTGTGCCAGTGTTTTACCACCCTCACTGTAAAAAATTTCTCCCTTATATCCAGTCTAAACCTACCCTTCAACCTTCCCACTTGTCACTGGCATCCATTTGGCCATCGAGCTGTTAACCACTGCCCCCTCTAGCTGCGACCTTCCAAGGCCACCTTGGAATTCCTTAGCCACCGAAGAGTCCACCCATCAAATCCGTATTTCTCCAGTTTAGGGAGACGGATGTTGTGAGGGACTGTGTTGAAGGCTTTACAGAAGTCCGGGCACATCAATGTCCATAGCTCTTCCCTTGTCCACTGATGTAGTCACGCCATCATTGAAAGCCACTAGCTTGGTCAGGCAGGACTTGCCCTTGCTGAAGCCATGCTGGCTGTCTCGACTCACCTCCCTGGCCTCCATGTGCCTTAGCACAGCTTCTAGGAGGATCTGTTCCACAATTTTCCCAGGCACAGAGGTGAGGCTGACAGGTCCGTAGTTGCCAGGTCCCTCCTTCCTATCCTGTTTAAAAATGGGCACAATGTTTCCCTTCCTCCAGTCACCGGGGACTTCACCTGACTGCCATGACCTTTCACATATCACGGAGAGTGGCTTGGCACTGACATCAGCCAATTCCCTCAGGACTCTGGGATTCATCTTGCCAGGTCCCATAGACTTGTGCATGTTCAGGTTCCACAGGTGGTCCCGAACCTGGTCTTCCATTAGAGAGGGAAGGACTTTGCCCCTCTGGACCCTGTCTTGCAGTCCATAAACTGAGGAGAGGCAAGAAGAGACGTTGCCAGTGAAGACTGCGGTAAAAAAGTTGTTGAGTACCTCACCCTGCTCCTCCTGTGTTGACATGAGGTTTGCATTCTTGCTCATCAAGGGGGTACGCTTTCTTTAACCTTCCTTTTCTGGTTGACATACCTGTAGAAGCCCTCCTTGTTATTCTTAGCATCCCTTGCCAAGTTCAGCTCAAGCCGCACCTTGGCCCTCCTGACCTCATCCCTACACAAGCGGGCAACCTTGCCTTGGTTGTAACCCAGATTCATTCCTGTATGATTTATCTTAGTTTATCCTTACAGAAACAGGTCTTCTTTATGTTTACCCCAGTCTATTTTTAGAATGCAGTTCAGCAAAAAATCATTTGGCAAGGAGACCGTAAGCTTATCAGAAAGTGTTTTAGGAAAAAACATTAAAAGAGTCCATTTGCCTTTAAAAGCAAGTTACATTGGTTTTTTGATTAAATTGATAATTAACAAACTGTTGGTAATCTGTAAAAGAATGCAGGGAGTATTGGGTGCTCATGTTGTGCTGAGAACTTGAATGGGGAAGATTTGGTATTTCACTGTCTGAAAATGTCAGTTCACAAATTGAAGGACTATCTTTTACAGATCTATCATGGACAAAAGGCTGTTAAAGTGGGAAACGGGACAGGTCATTTTATCTGTCTCTTTGCTCAGGAGGAGCCAGGAAATAACTAAAGCATGTGCAGCAGAGGTTTTTGAGAGTTGAATGTTGAGGAACAAGTATTTGGTGATGCTGCCTGTAATGGGAAGGCAGGACAAACTGAAGTTTTCTCAATGGAGAGTTTGAAACCAGCAGAGGAAAAATGACTGCTGGATAGGTATTTCTAATTCATACTTGGGCTTTAGGGCATCATCATGGTATTTTTACCTAATAGTAATATGAACAGGAATGTGAGCAAGGGTGTCCAAGCAACATAACCTCAGTGTAGTTGAGCTACTATTGCATTCAGGAAATCAAGAACAAAATCACATCCAGTGGCACTACCTTTGCTTGTGTACTGCCTACATCACCTCAGACTGAGGTTCACCTGCGCTTTCTAGTCCCCAATCTCCAGTGCAATTTTCTTGCCATTTCTACTAAATAATTAAGCCAGTATGATATAACAGCTCATTAATCTAGCATTGCTTTACCAGTCAGAAATAAGTAACTTGCTTGTTGTTTTCTTTTTCCACTCCTATCTGTGTATCTATATTTAGAATTCAGATTTAGAACTGAATTGTAACAGTTGCTGGGGTGCTGATTCTGTTCTGGCAGAAGCTAAGGTACTTAACAGTGTCAGTGATTGATTTTGGGAGGCCAGCTGGACAACTTGACTGGATGAGGACCCTGCTTATGTGGAATCATCACGTTTTAAATCATGAGAATCAACAGAGTTACTTGAATTTGGAAATGCCTGGAGAAAAAAAAAAATCAGTTCTTTGGGGAGCTATTGAGACCACATTCAATTTTGCACAGCTGGATTAGCTATCAGAACTAGGAGCCCAGGCCCCCATTGAATTTTTAGAGAACGGCAAGGCTCACGTTCTAGAGCTCACATTAAACATACACGGAAACAAAATCATCAGGTTCAGGCAACTAAATTCAGTGCCAGAGATGGCACCACAAGAATAGTCCAGTTATGGTGAATCATCTTATATCACCTCACATACAGAGCACTATTACTATACATTGAACCAAAGGCACTGTTCACTTAAAAAATCACATTTTGATCTGTTATGCTACAGGAAATCTGGGATAACTCTACTTAAATCGGTGGAATGGAATTGAATAGGTTTATAGCCTGGCAAAATTTACTCCTAAATCTAAGTAGAACTAATCTATCTACATGGGAGTTGCTAGGAGTATCAAGACAGCTAAATTTATAGAAATAAAGATGGGAATTAAAGCAGGGAAATATTCAGTTAACTTCTGATGCAAAGGAACTTTAAAAATGGATGTATTGTGAAAGGAGGACTATTAATATGTTTTATACCTAAGTCTCTCTTACTTGAAAAGTCTGGCGGTTATAATGGTCACTAACTCATGTCTAGCACAGAGTAGAATTTCACCAGGGAGTGAATTGTTTCTCAGTGTGTACGTAGAGCCCCAGGCAGACAGAGAGCCAAAGTAGTAATTCGAACTTCTGAACATTATCATAATTCAAATAATAAACGGTTTGAAATAGACTGTCACTTTTAAACTGCTTTAGTGCAGATGGTCTTTTTCTTAATTCCCAGCCCCATAGTTAGTGAGCTGAGCTTATTGAACTGCTTGCCAATTCTGTTAAGAGCAGATGGAGTGAAACGGGATAAAGGCAATATTTCAGTGCGGCCTCCTGTGCATCAGCTCCCACCCCCAGATGCCATTAGTGACATACATTTTACAACTCCACATCTCTCACCATCAGCGGTTAGAATTATAAAGAGGTTGAGCATACTTGGCTTGAATGTCAGTAATCAATAAGGATGCTCATCTGGCTTAATAAGGATAAATTGTTGCCCTTGAAACAACGTGCCATTCCAGCAGTCAAAGTGAACTAAAACTAGTTCCTTGATATTTATACTAACTCTGGGTGTCCATGTGCGTGTGTGTGTGCGCGCAGACTTTTGTTATGTGTTTCTCTGACCATTCCCTAGCACTATGGAATCCTCTTATGTGTCTTGTAATAATGGATTAAAATAATTCGAGTGCTCCCCTTTTAAAAGCTCATTTCTTCCACTTCAGACTGCTTTTTTTTTTCTAAAGACTTTCATTACAAACTCTGTCCTTCTGAAAAGCTCTCAGCTTCCTCTTCTGAAGCCTGCTGACAAAACATTCCAGGTGAGATTTTCAGAAGTGCCCACTGGGAGTGGACCATCGCTACCTCTAAAGCCTGTGATCAAATTCTGTCCAGGTTTAGCTAAGGCAGATAAACTGCCATGCAACAGACTTCAGTTAATTCTGAGTGCTGAGGAAATACTGATCCTACTCCTATGGGAAGCAGTTATCTTTTTTTATAGAAAGCATGAATGTTCTGATCACAAAAATATACATAATACATAAGCACAGCTGACATCAAGATCAGTGGATCGTGACACTTCAATTTTTATGTTTTAATGAATAAAACAGGACATTTAGTAAAGAAAACAGGCCAGAAGTCATTCTCTGGCCCTCAGACTAGCTGGCATGTGTAATCTGTGGTCAAATGACTAAACTCTTTCTGCATAAACAGCAGTGGTTGCATGCAGCTTTGCTCTGTGGGACTTGTCCCAGGCATTTTCTGAAAGACTGTTGTCACCAGACCAGGCTATGGTAGCAGTCATGATAGTGTAGCAGTATGGGTGACTGGCCATGCTGCATCCATACCCTGGCACTTTTTACTTCATTAGTACAAATATGAGGTATTTGTCCAGAATTTTCACTGACCTCCCCAAAAGTTTTGTGACTTCAGATCAATTTCCTTTGCAGGGATGTGCTTCATCGAAATTTCTTTTCAAAGTTGGCAGGTGCTCTATAACCTGTCTGGCAGACTTAAATGAATATGTTTGAGAAGGTGTGGACGCTGCTGGAAGCGTCCAATATTGCTGAGGCTTGCTGGTAAAATGTTGGGCTGGAAGTCTGCAGCATTACTTTCCACTTCCCCAGATGTCTAGAAGCCTGCGGGGCTATACTGTCAGTCTATACTGTCAGTAAATTTTAAATGCTAATAGCAGAACATGACAAATTCCATGCCAATCTCAGTGAAAATGGGAGTTTCTGTGATTCACAGTATTCATTAAAGCTCTGTTTGCCCCCTGTGTCCCAGGTGTTAGTATAAGAAGGCCTAATATTTGCTGTGTCTTGCCACTGAGTGCAAGAATGACAGATCCTTTTCTTGGCTTGGAGCTGGATCAATGTCAATTCATCTCAAATGAGTAAATGTAGCCTCGCTGTGGAAGTGCGATGTCCCAGAGACACACTGCTGTGGGCTGGAACCAGTCACCCATGTTTTAATGTTTGCTCATGTCATTTTTAACCTTCTGTTTCTTTCCTTTTCCTGGCAGATTTTTATTGGTGAGATATCCATGTATTTCATAAAGTCAACCCGAGAAACCCTAATTATTCAAGAGAAAACTATTTTGACTGGAGAGTGCTGTTACCTGAACCCACTGCTTCGAAGAATAATACGTTTTATAGGTAAGCATCCTGAGCACTGCAAGCTTAGTCCCTGTTAACATCAAAACAGAACAAAACATCGTAATAATCTACACCTCAGAATTAATTAAGCTGTGAAATTTTTGCAGGCTTCTACCACCTTAGAGGGATAGTCCCTCTCAGGATTTGCAAGGTAGCATTCAAAATGTGCCATATCATGCTGTCTGGAGCTGGTTTATATCCTATTCTGCTGAGCTTAATGCTTCTTCTGCACCCTTGAAGAAAGGTTATGCCAGTCAAATCCTTGTATGAATAATTCCATCATTGCTATTCTGTGTAAGCTACCCATTTTACTTACAAATTGGTCCTCACCAGCCCATCTCTTTGGCATTTTTCTTTTCAGCACTAATTTTAACATCCATAGCTCTGCCACATAATGTTCAGCTCAGCACAGTGTAAAAAAGCCCAGAGCCCACTTCAAAATAACATTCTTCTTTTTTTTTTTTTTTTTTTTTTTTTTTTGGTTAGAGCTTTCATTGAATAAATCACTGAGAAATTAATTAAGAAGTTCTGTCACTAAACCGTTTGGAAGTTACTTTACATGGTGCTTGCAAACCACTATGCCTTTTTCACATTGTTGATTAGTGGGAAAAATGCTTACAAGACCTTACTGAGGGGACCATCCCATGGTTCTTTTGGAGCAGGAAGAGGAACAGCATTGCAGCTTGCATTTCCGCTGAGGCACTGATGGGCTTTTGATGATCTTAGAAGTCTTGATGATCTTAGAGATCTTTTCCAACCTATGATTCTATGATTTCTGTTGCCCATAGAGGTGGTTGAGTCCCCATCTCTGGAGGTGTTTAAAAAACATGTAGATGTGGTACTTCAGGATATGGTTTAGTAGGCATGGTGGTGTTGGGTGGATGGCTGGATTTGATGATCTTAGAGGTCTTTTCCAACCTATGATTCTGTGAGAATCTGGTTGCCCTCTGAAGGATTCCCAATCCATAGCCATTTAAGGTTGCCCAAACCGCACCCCTTGGTGTTTAGAGGCAAGGAATAGAGTCACTGTTTGCTCACTGACTACCTCCTTGTAGCAGCAGAGTAAGAAGAGGGCAGCTCTGAACTGCACATGGAAGGGGCTCTGGCTTCCCTCCTTCTTACTCATTCATGAGAAGTCCCAAGTTCATGCATGGGGTGGGATGGCTTGTCCCACTACTGGCGTGGGCCAGTGGTAAATATGGCTCCCTACTGACTGAGCGGGGCTTTGCCCACAGAGCATCACAGCACCTCCTTCCCTGTGTACTCTTAGAGATAAGGCATCCTTACACACAGCACCTTACAGAGAACTGGGTCACATTCACAGTCTGAGTTAAAAGAAGCAATAGGAAAAAAAGCTGAAAATATCTGTATCGCTTCTTGCCTGTTGCTGCTGAATTTTTTAGCTTTATCTGTAAGAAGAACATCTGCTGTGACAGTGGCAAGGGTTGTATTGCTTCCATGGAGCACAGCCCTGCCTGCGGCCAGGGATACTTGCTTAGAGCATGGAGTTGAAAGTCTTCTCCTGTGCTAAGGTTTTCATCATTAGCAAGTATATGCTGCAAAGGAGGAGGAGCTGTGGTTGTCTTTCTCCCTGTCCTCTCTCTGTGCCTCCTGCTTTATGCATGGAAGTAAGGAAGTGAAATGATTTTTCACCTTAAGCCACGGTGGAGCTGGGGACAAACCACCTGTGGTTTGTGACTCAGGCCTGGCCTGTGTGCTGCTGATGAAAACAAAAGACATGGGAATGCAGTTAAAAGTAAAATACGCTTGAACTTCAGATAACCTCTAGGATATATTGATGGATAGTAAACTGCCATTAAGAGAGGCGTAGGGTACCGGCATCCACTGGGCCACTCAGGGCTGTTTGACTGTTCCAACATATTCAGCATGTTGCAAAGTCCTAATCAAATACTCTTGCCTGCGGGGTCAGTGCTAAAAGAGCTTAGACTGTGGAGGCTAAGCACTTGCTCTATATGTTTTCTTGTGGTTAGCTTTATACTTAAACAATCATGCTATTGTTTCTTTTCTGGTGGAAGAGAAGCGGGCAGCAATGATACAGTGGACTCTCAGAGAGTATTAGGATATGAACCCTGCTAGAGAAATCAATCTTGGCTTTGAAGCTGTATTTGTTTTCCTCAGAAAAATGAAGTTAACACTATTAGAAATGGCTTACAGTGTTCGTCTGATCTTAAACTACACTGATTGTTTGCTTGTTTTCTTCTGAAACCTTCTCCCTGCCTCTGCGGTAAAATGAGTGAAGTAGAGTTTGATGAAAAGTGGCTGAAATAATTTATGAAAGGAACTAAAAATAACCGCACATTTTTCATTGACATTCCACCTGCATTTTGAAAACATGACGTGGACTGAGCAGCTGTAGCCTGTGATGGATGGTCAGGGAAGTTAGCTCCATACAGCTGCTTACTGCAAAATCCAGGCTGCCTGAATGCTTGGCTCTGGAGAGACCACCACGTTGCTCATACATGGATTTCCTTGCATGCATCTTCTCTTGCTAAATTTGAGGGCCATAAGTTACAGAACTGATTAAGTAAGTTGTCTTCCATGATATCCTAGCAAGCAGTCCAACTTGTTGGAAAGAAGTTTGCTGCCAATTTAGTCTTGGTACAAATTGACTGGAATATCCAGATCTGATGATTTCTTTTGGCCCAGATGTGTGAGCAAGAGTCTTAAATGAACACCTGCAAAAAGTAGTAATTGAACTCCTTAGAACACTGCCTTATAAGTCATTACAGTTGGTATTACTCAAAAGGATGAGAAAGTCCTTCACTGTATCTGGATGCTCATCCGTCAGGAAAAATGAACATTACTTCCTGACCCTGCAAGGCACGTCATGGAGGGCTTTTGAGAATTGCTATTCGCAAGTTTTAGAAGGGCACAGAGGCTTTTTCTCACTCCCTGACTCTAACTAGAGTTGCTGGGAAGAAGTTTTAAGAATAGTAGCCTAAATGTACCTTCCACAAAACAAACAGAAAGTTATAGATACTCCCTTGAACATTCACTTAGATTTTGTAG